GGCCTTTCTTATGTCTTGCCTGCACTTTGACGACATTGTTGTTGTACTTCCTGCCTCTGGCCTTGACTCCCTATGAGCTGATCATGCCATTCCCCTGTTTAATCCTGCAATGGCTCCCCACTGCCCATAAGAAGACAATGAGAGTCTATTCTGACATAGCAGGTCCTCCATGATGTGATGTGGTTCCTGCAAACTTCTCGGCTTCCCAAGTGTCTGGCCTGGCCTCAACGACTTGGGTTCTGCCTCGGCCTCTGTTTGGTCTTGTCACTGCAACTTTGTACCCCGTGCTCCCTCCCTATGGAATATGTTTCTCCTTCTCCTCCTGGAAAACTCCTGCTTATGTTCCCAGGCTCAGATCAAATGTCTTCTCCCCTTGAAAGCCTTCCTTGATGTCTCCAGACAGAGTCGAGAGCCTCCTCCCCTGCATTTCTGTATCTTCCTGCTCACCCCTATTTTCCAGGACTTTGTGCACAGAGTGTCTGGCCTGGAGAGCTAGGACTGGGCTCTGTTCATCCCTGACAGCTAGAACATAGGGAAGGCCTGATGCATAGCGAACGTTCTGATACTGTTTGCTGAATGAATGAATGAATGAATGAATGAATGAATGAATGAGTGAATCAGTGACATAGGACACTATGTTCTAGCTCCTAGGATTAGGCCTGGGTAAGGGAGATATCCCATAGTCAGGTGCTGAGGGAACTGAGGGAAGCAGGATACGCACGTTGGCACAGAGACGGAGCCAGGGACAGTGAGAAGCCATGTAATATTGGAAGATAAACCCTGGCCTCCAATTCCTAAGCCCCAAGTCTTCCTTTTTCTGCCTGTGTGCCCTTGGGCAAGTTACTCGACTCTGTCCTTTTACTATTACTATCATCGTGGTAAGATATACATGACATAAAATTTACCATCGTAACCATTTTTTATTTTTATTTTTTATTTTTTTAAAGATTTTATTTATTTATTCATGAGAGACAGAGAGAGAGACAGAGGCAGAGGGAGAAGCAGGCTCCCTGCTCCGCGGCTGAGCTACCCAGGCATCCCGTAACCATTTTTTAAGTGTACATGTCTGTGGCCTTAACTACATTCCCATTCAATGAACACTTGGTTGCTTCTACCTTTTGGCTATTGTGAATAATGCAGCTATGAACATTGGTGTGTAAATACCGGTTTGAGTCCCTGCTTCCATCTCTTTCGGATGTATACCCCCTGGAATTGCTGATTCATACAGTAATTCTATGTTTAGCTTTTGGAGGAACCACCATGCTCTTCTCCACAGTGGCTACACTGTTTTGTATTTTTACCAGCAATGCACAAGGATTTCCACTGTCTCCATGGCCTCATCTGCCCCCTAGGGATGCTGCTACCTGCCTGCATCATATGGTTCACAGCCATGTTTTGAAGATCAAATGCAACAATGTTTGTAGAGCACTTGCTGAATAATGTTCTTGTGCCCGCATACAAAAGGTGCTCGGTCCCCTGGGAAACAGTTCGCACCTGTAGGAGTTTCCTCATCCACCAGCAGACACACCGCCTTCTGGTGACTTGGAAAGGGGACTTGTCCTCTGGTGATAGCAGGCTCATTCACTTTTCTACAGGAGCAGTGACTATAGGAGGACTTTCCACTCCGGGGCCAAGTAAACCTATGTGCTCCAGGCCAAATTAAAGAACTCTCAGTCTTGCTTAATTCATCAAACCTCAAAGGCATAATGCCAAGCAAGGGAGTGTGGGCTGTGACTTGTGCTCAGTGCTTCATTCCAGAGGCTTTCAGTGGAGTGGCAGATGCAGCTCATTTGTGATCGAGTATTACTGTCCCTCTTTCAGGAAAATGGCACATCGTTGTCATGGTCAACCAGCATGTGGTCATTTAACTTGCTTTGAACAATGAAATGGGAAAAGAATGGATGTGTACCACTTCTGGGTAGAAGCCTTAAAAGTCAACACCTTTTTAAACATATTTTTTGTTTCCCTCTCTCATCACAACCGGCAATATCCCCCAAACTGGCTGCCACTGTCCAGTTGGGTTCCAGAGTGAGGTGGAACAGAGGAGCAACCAATCTGCGCTGGACACATAGGGTAGAATGAGAAATAAACCTGTGCTGTTTATAAACCCCAAAACTGAGAATTGGGGCTATTTGTTACTACAGCATAACCTAGTCCATCCTGACTAATATATCAGCAAACGGTTTATCCTATTGGTGAGGAAAGTGCTGGAAAGAATATGAATAGTGTTTCATGGGAACATAGAGGAGGAGAGGAGGAAACAAAGATTAACCCTGGAGGGAGAGGTCTCTGATGGTTTCTACTTTTAATCTTGTACTCATTTATTCCTTCCAGTAACTTTGTGAGGTAACAATTATCCTCATTTTTCAGGTAAGGGACTTTCAGCTCAGAGATGTTAAATTTATTTTCTTTTCTTTCTTTTTTTTTTATTATTTATTCGAGATAGAGAAAGAGAACAAGAGAGAGCGAGCACGAGCTGGGGGGTACAGAGGGGGAAGCAGACTCCCCGCTGAGCAGAGAGCCTGCTGTGGGGCTCAATCCCAGGACCCTGGGATCATGACCTGAGCTGAAGGCAGACACTTAACCAACTGAGCCACCCAGGTGCCCCAAGGTGTTAAATTTCTCAGTGTCTTTCAGCTTGCCATGAATGGAGATGGCATTCAAATTTAGGTCTCTCTGATACTTACTTTCTGGATTTTTTGTATTAATAGTAGCTGAAACTTATGTAGCACTTTTTATGTGCAAGTGTCTGATGATGTTCTAAGAGCTAGGAATGAATGAACTCGGTTAACCCTTATATCAGCCCTCTGATAGGTATATTATAATCTATTTTATGGGTAAGGAAACAGATCAAGTGAGTTGCCCCATGTCACACAGTTGGCATTTGAAGACCAGCAGTCTGGATCCAGAATTCATGTTCTTAACCACTGCACTATGCTCAGCTTGGTTCTTCCATGCTCATGGGAGAGACAGATGAGCACCCACTAACTCCTCACTGTATGTGCTTTGCCTGGTTGAACTCACCAACGCCCATGGCTTCAACCATTACATAACAACTGTTAATTTAGCACAGCTCTTTTCCCACTTCTCATTAAATCTCCCTACCTGGATGTCTGGCAGGCATCACCAACAACCAGTTCCAACCCTCAGGAGCTCATCGTCAGACTCCAATCTACAAGCTAGATCAAGTGATCCTTCTGCTGAAAATCTTTCCATGTCTTACCATTGCCTTCCCTTAGCACTGGTGCCCTTGCTGTTCCTTCTGTCTCTCCAGCCTCATCTTCCTCATCCTCCCTTTGCTGATGTCCCTTTCTAGAACATTCTTCTCTGACTGAATAACCTCCACTGTCCTTTAAGACTGATCTGAATAGCAGCTTTATTCACAATGGCCCCATATTGGAAACAGTCCAAATGCCCATCAACTGGTGAATGGATAAACGAACTGTGGTATATCCAAACGATAGAATACTGCTCCACAGCAAAAAGGAATGCACTGATATACCCAACAACATGGATGAATCTCAAAAGCATTAGGCTAAATGAAAGAAACCAGAAATGAGAAAGACTACATACTGTAGGATTCCAGAAAGTTCTAGGAAAGGCAAAGGTATAAAAACAGAAAACCAATCAGTGGTTTCCAGGGTTTGGGAGTGGGGAGGGCAGGGATTGTGTATAAAGATGTGCAAGGAAATTTTTAAGGTGATGGAAATATTCTACATCATGATAGTGGTGGTGGTTACATAGATATACACATTTGTCGAATTCATAGACGTGTACACTTAAAACATGGGTTTGACTGATGTAAATGATTTCTCAATAAAGGTTATTTTTAAATAAGGCTCCATTCAAGGAATCTGGCTCTGGGATGCCTTGCGGGCCTCGGCTCTCTACCTTAGCTCTCCCCACCCTGTATTTTCACAGTCTGTTTTCTGGTTTATGTCTGATGCTAGACTTTGAGCTCCCTGGGTCTTTTCTCACAATATAAACATCTTCTAGCAGAGCACTGGATACTCCCCAGACACTCAAGACAAATTTTTCTGATGAAGAGTTTTTAATGACTTGTCGAAGTAATGGAGCCTCCATAAGAAATCTTTTGTCTTCAGGATAAGATTCAGGCCCCAAATCACTAGGACTGGAAAAACCTCTAACCTGAATGCCACAGGCTGTAGCAAATGTCAGTTAACCATCTTTCTGGTCCAAAGAGAGGTGGAGCCAAAGGGTACGGATGGCTTCTGACCCCCTACCACTGCCCCCGGAGCAAACCCTGAGCAGAAGTTCTCGGTCACTGTCACACCCTCATCCCCTTATTGGCTCACTTGCCTACCCTGCATCCTAGGATGTAACTATAAGCCCCAGGAGGGAAGGGACCCTTTTGTCTCTCTCATGGATATTTCTCGATGCTTGGCATGCAATAAAATAGCAATAGCTTTTTTACATGACTGAATTTTCAAGTTCGGATACCTGAAGTAGGCAAATTTTTAGTCTGTGGCTAAAAATATTAGAGTTATTTTGATTTTGGAAATAATGAAATGGGAGGTGGCCCGGGCATGTGGTCCAGCACTGTGGGGGGAAGAAACACAAGGCAGGTAAAATCTCTGATGTGTTAGTGTTGATGAGCAGGTCCATGTTGGAGGGGGTGGTGAGTGGGACAAGGTTGTTGACATTTTGAAGAATGCTCTGCAGTGATTTTTGTCAAAAAAATAAACTTTATTTTTTAGAATAGAGTTGCAGAAAAATTGCAAAGATAGTACAGAGTTCACATATGCGATGCAACCTGTTTTCCCCAGTATTGTCTTATTTTAGAATGGTACTTTTTTCTTTTTCTTTTTTTTATAATTAATGAACCAATAGTGATATATTATTAATAACTAAAATTCACATTTTATTTAGATTTCCTTGGTTTTTGTCTAATGCCCTTTTATTATTCCAGGATTCCATCTAGAATAGTACATTACATTTCGTGTTGTGGCTCCTTAGGCTCTTCTTGGCTGTGATAGTTTCTTGGACTTTGTTTTGGATGACCTTGACAGTCTTGAGGAGTACTGGGTGGGTATTTTGTAGAATATTCCTCAGGTGGGATTTGTCTGATGCTTCTTTCATGATTAGTCTGGAGTTATGGGCTCTGGAGAGGAAGACCTTGGAGGTAAAGAGTTGCATTTATTTTTAAGATCTAAATTCATTTAGTCTAGATGAAAGTGTGTTGTGGTTGGCATTATATGCTTGCAAAAGCCGTGCTGATAAGGAGTAAGGCCTGAACCCATGACAGAAACAAAAAACATCATAGAACCATGTTTTCTGCACCTAACTTCATTCTCCCCTCTGACCCCAAGCCAAAAATTACTGCAATTTCTGGATCTTGATAATCCTTTCTAAATGGAATTAAACTGACTCAGAAAGAGCCAGGAAGCTTCTGCACTTCCCCCCGCCCCGAGACTGGCCTCTTTCTGCTTCAGTGTTTCCTTCCTGAACAAATCTTCTCATCATCAGAGGTAGGGAAATGATTCTGTTCTCAAGGGTCTGCCCCATCAGGGAGCCCCTGACTCTCTCCCTCCAATCCTCACATATATATTAATTCTCTGTGATGTTCTGGGAGCTAAGCTTGGGCTGAAAAGGTGGTGGCACAGGACTGCTTGCTGCAAGGAGCTGGGGTTTGGAAGGAGACACACGCAATTGAGTGAAAATTGTCACACCTTATAAATCCCAGGGAAGTGAGTATGTACCTGGGACAGTGTGGCCCAACAGAGAGGAGGCCATTCTTTTGGGTTTGTATGAAGCTTGCCAATCAAATGTAATTGGGCAATGTAGGAGTCCTAGCAAAAGAGTGTATTAGGGGCGCCTGGGTGGCTCAGTCAGTTGGGCATCTGACTTTGGCTCAGGTCATGATCTCAGGGTCCTGGGATCGAGCCCCATGTTGGGCTCCCTGCTCAGCAGAGAGTCTGCTTCTCCCTCTCCCTCTGCCCCTCCCCCTGCCCTCTGTCTCTCTCTCTCTCTCAAATAAATAAATAAAATCTTAAAAAAAAAAGGAGCACATTAATGAGCCAGGTGGGTGCCACCTGTCAGCAGGATTTAGCAAGGACAGTCTTTCCCCAGAGGTGACTTTTCCCTTTCAAGTTCTGCCTGTATGAGGGTAAATGGTTTCCCCTGTATGCAGGCTGGTCTGCGGGAGGTAACCCAGCTTATCCCGAGGCTGTGCTGTGTTGTACCAACCTCTAATTCTTAAATCCTTGGCTCTTTTCCCCAAGGTTTATGTCAAACCAACCTCTTGAGTAGGCAGGATGGTGCTTTGCGAAGTGCTCTGAGTCTTGAGCCATAAGGTTTGGGTCCAGTTTAATATGCATGAAAATTGCTTCTATTTAGGGGATGTGTATGGAAAGCCAGCTCCTGCACTAAATGTCTTATGTGCATTGTCTCATTTAGTCCTCCAACAGTATGAGATAATAATCATACTAATGATTGTTACTAATTACTGAGCATTTATTTTTTGAGATAATTATCATTTTCTTATTTTATTTTACTTATTTTTATTTTTTTCCAGTTTTATTGAGAAATACTTAAATCACTGCATAGGTTTAAGGCATATAGCACGATAGTTTAACTTACATATACTGTGAAATGATCACCACAGTAGGCTCAGCTAACGTCCATCTTCTTATTCAGATAGAATATGAAGCACTGGGGCAACTGGGTGGCAGTTAGTTAAATGTCCAACTCTTGATTTCGTCTCAGGGCATGATCCCGGGTTCCTGGGATCGAGCCCTGAGTTGGGCTCCACACTTAGCGGTGAGTCTGCTTGAGGATTCTCTCTCTGTCTGCCCCTCCCCCTGCTCACGCACGTGTGCGCACGCACACACACACTCTCTTTCTCTCTCAAAATAAATAAATCTTAAAAAAAAAATATTGAGCACTTATTATGTGTCAGGGCTAATTTAAAGAGCTTGCCATGGATTACATTTCATTATCACAACAACCCTCTAAGTGCATAAATCTCAAGCATGGAACTTGATTAGTTCTTACCCATGTGACCACCACCACCTAGATCAAGATACAGAGCATCTCCCAGAAGGCTCCCTTCCCAGTTATTACCATTTTTACCCCTCCCAGTTATTACCATTTTCCCCTAAACCTCAAGTAACCATTCTTTTGACTTCTAGCCTGTTAGGTGAGTTTGGCCCATTGAATAAACAAGTAAGTAAATAAATACAATTTTACTAAGGTGAGATTCATGTAACAAAATTCACCACTTTATTTGTTTGTTTATTTATTTTTGAAGATTTTATTTTTCAGTAATCTCTACACCCAACATGGGGATCGAACTCACAACTCCGAGATCATGAGTCACAAGCTCTACCGACTGAGCCAGCCAGGCTCACCCTCCAATTAACCATTTCCAAAATAAACAATGCAACGGTATTTAGTACATTCTCAATGTTCTACAACCGTCACCTCTGTCTAGTTCCAAAGCGTTTTCAGCACCCCACAAGAAAACCCCATACTCATGAAGCCGTTGGCCCGTTTTCAAACATCAAATCGATGAATCATGCAGTGTGGTCCTTTACGTCTGGCTTCTTTCTCTCCGCATATGTGTGTGAGGGTTTCCCGGGTCGTGTGTGCACTGGGTACCAATATCCTTCCTGGTTTACAGGGGAGGAAAGGAAGGTGCAGAGGGGGTAAGTAACCTGCCCACAGTCATTCAGCTGGCAAGTGGTTGAGCTGTGAAGCCTGGCAGGGTGGCCCTGGGACCCTGTTCCTGGAGGGTACGCCGTACCGCAGAGGAGGAGGCAAGCTCCAGCGAGCCAGCAACCAAGCTGAAGGCAGTTGGCTATGATTTCAGAGAGTTCCTCTGACTGCAAAGTCCCGGCTGTTGGCTGCTAGGCTCTTTTCCCCTTGACTACCTGTGTGATGTGGGGCCTTTTTCTGGACCTCGGTTTCCCAATCTCAGCACGCCACTGGGCCTTCCTCCGCCCAGTGAGAGCTGTCCTAAGCTGCGAGGGGCCGTACAAACACAGCCATGAGGATGTAGTTGACTATGATATCAACGGTCTTTGGGAACCTGCAGGGGCCGGATGGGCCCTGGGGGAGCTGGGACTGCTTGGGGGTGGGGGCCGGGTAGGGGCCCGTGGGAGCCCAGCCCTCCTGTTCTCGCTGTTTGTACAGCTTTAGTATTTCCTGTGCTTTGCTCCATCCAGAATTACCATGTCCAACATCCTACAATGCAGGGTCTCTGCATTTAAGGAAGGTCCCTCCTGAGGAAGCATCCCTTCCCAGCCTCTTGGCCTAGAATATGCGTCCTCTGGACAGGCCCTGCTGGCCGTCTACAGGATGGCGCTCGTTATCAGTTATGAAATTCGTCCTCTGTTAGTCCAGAAGTCAGATTCGGAGAAAGAGAGACAGTCACGTGGCTAGAGGTGGAACAGGTGTGCTCTCTGGAGGGGGGTTGGCGCTTTGTTGATATTGTCCCCATTTATCTACCCAGGGCCAGAAAGCAGATTGTCATCTTCGGTAGCAATGACTTTATAGTTTCAAACCTCTGAATGAAGGAGAAATAAGGTCACGGTGTGGAATGGCCTCGTCCTGAGTAGCGGCTCTCGTCTCTGCCAGATGCTGGGATTGACATGGAGGTCTTGGCTTCCCTCTTGGCGTGGGGGCCGTTCTGTGTGTACAGAAAGGGGCGTGGGGCGGGGGTCCTCACAGTACTGCTCTCCTCTCCCTTTAGGCATCCCGTCTTCCACTCTAGCCTTGTTTAAATCCCAAGGTTTCCCTTTCCAGACGGTTTCTAAGGGGACAAATAAAAAGAATGTTCCAGAATGCTTTGCTGGCCCAGGGGATGATTTGTCAGAGCAGTTTCCTGGATTACGGCCTCTTCCCCATCAGCAAATCATGTGAAACAAAGTCCTGTCAGCTGTAAACCCTGAATGTGGGAAAAAGAGCTGACACACAGGACTCGTTTTCGTAAAGTTGACATTTCTCATGAATAGCGAATTCCTGAGTGTGGGCAGTTGACCAAGGCCAGGAATTCTCATTAGCTGGTGATAATCAGGCATGACTCGGACTGCGGAACGCGGCTGGGAGGAGAGGTCATCCGTGTGGGCAGGGACGACCCACAGCTGATAATTGAGTGCAGTCCAGCCAGAGTGGTGGCTAAAAGACCCAAGTGCTCTGTGTGGGCTAGTAATCCGCTCCGCCTCCCCAGCAGTGCCACACTCTCTGGGCTCCCCCCCACCCCACTGCCCCTGAATCCTGCAGCGAAAGGGGTCGTGCTGACCTGGCAAAGGCCTTCCAGACGAAGTCCAGCTGGGGTCTGACCCTCGTTTGGATGGATCGTGGTGAACTGGTGGGTAAAGAAACGACCGGCCTTTCCTGGCTCTGGGGCAACTGTTCCTTCCCTGGGCCCCCGCAGAGACATGGGCTCGGCCCCAGCCTTCTTCCTGCTTCCTGAGACCACGACCTCTTTGGAGTTGAAGGGCATCTAGGAAATGAGTTAAGCGGATTGTTTCCCCTCCAGGAGCCCAATCCCCCTCCCCGAACATCCATACTCCCCAAACAGCAAGCATTAGCTCTTTTTTTTCCCCCAGCCCTCATCTCTGTAACATTTCCTGGTTTTCCCAAACAGAATTAGTCATTTCCTTCTCTGTGTTCCCATAATATTTCCATGCCACCGTATCTCTGTGATGCAATTTTATTTTATGAGCACTGTGATATTCTCTTGTGGACATATGAAAGCTTGTAAACATTTCTTTTTCTTTTTTTGCTTTGGCTTCTGGGAAGCTCAGCCCCAATTTGCAGCTCCCTGCAATCAAGTGATCAATGTGCACTTTGTGAGTTGACTTTCTCCTGGCTTCATCCTACGTTCAGCCTCTCTTTCCTCCATTTCTTTATTTATATATACTTGGATTATATCCACCTATGTGACCCACTTCAAAATAAAAAAAACCACATTTTTTTGCATTTTTAATTTTTTTTTAAAAAGATTTTATTTATTTATTTGACAGAGAGAGAGAGAGACAGTGAGAGAGGGAATACAAGCAGGGGGAGTGGGAGAGGGAGAAGCAGGCTTCCCGCGGAGCAGGGAGCCCGATGTGGGGCTTGATCCCAGGACCCTGAGATCATGACCTGAACCGAAGGCAGACGCTTAACGACTGAGCCACCCAGGCACCCAATATTTGTATTTTAAATAGCCAAACCTGACCCTCCTTAGGTGCCCTCACTCCCAGGCATTTAACTCACACCACCTTCCAAAGATTATATCAAAAAAAGTTTTTCTTTTTTTTTTTTTAAGATTTTATTTATTTGACAGAAAGAGACACAGCGAGAGAGGGAACACGAGCAGGGGGAGTGGGAGAGGGAGAAGCAGGCTTCCCGCGGAGCAGGGAGCCCGACGCAGGGCTCGATCCCAGGACCCCGGGATCCTGACCTGAGCCGAAGGCAGATGCTTAACGACTGAGCCACCCAGGCACCCCTGCATTTTCAATTTTTAAAAAGATTTTATTTATTTTGAGAGAGAGAGCGAGAGCGAAAGAGAGCACGAATGGGAGGAGAGGGAGAAGCAGGCTTCCTGCTGAGCAGGGAGCCTGATGCAGGGGCTCAATCCCAGGACCCTGGGGTCATGACCTGAGCCAAATGCAGATGTTTAACTGACTGAGCCACCCAGGCGCCCCTGCATTTTCAACTTTAATGAGGTGAAATTTACCTAAATAAAATGCATCCATTTTAAGTATATAGTTTGATGAGTTTCACAAATGTACACCCATGTAACTACCAACATAACGATGATATGGGACACATTTCTATCACCCCCATGTTCTTGTACCTGGTCCCAGCCACCACAGATATGCTCTCAGTCACTATATATCAGATTCACCTTTTTCTAGAGTTCCACATACATAGAACCATATAGTACGTGGTCTTTTGTGTCTGGCCTTGTTCACTGGGCATAATACTTTTGAGATTTATCCATGTTCTTGTGTATACCATCAGGGGTTCCTTTTTATTGCTTTAGTAGAATTTCATTGTATGGATAAATCATAATTTGTTTATCCCCTGTTGATGGACATAAAAGTTATTATTTCCATTTCTGGGCTAATATGAATATAGCTGTTATCACCATTTATATACAGTTTGTGTGTAGGAAAAAAAAAGGCAGCTGCATTAACCATGGTTCTCCAGAGAAACAGAACCAATAGGATCGATCGATTGATCGATCTATCTATCTATCTATCCATCTATCTTTTATTTATTAGAGCTGGCTCACATGATTATGGAGGCTGACAAGTTCCCAGATCTGCAGTTGGCAAGCTGGAGACCCAGGGAAGCTGATGATGTAGTTGCAGTCTGAGTCCAAAGGCTTGAGAACCAGGAGAGTTGATGGTGTGGTGCCTGTCCAAAGACTGGCGGGCTTGAGACCCAAAAAGAGCTGATGTTTCAGTTTGGGTTTGAAAGCAGGAAAAAAGTTGATGTCCCAGATCAAAGGCAGTCAAGTAGGAGGAATTTCCTTTTATTAGGGAGATGATCAATGTTTTTTTCTGTTCAGGCTTTCAACTGATTGGGTGAAGCCTGCCACATTAGGGAGAGCAATCTGTTTTACTTTTTCACAAGTTAATTTCATCTGAAAACATCTTCACAGAAACAACCAGAATGATATTTGACCAAATATCTGCGGGCAAATCAAGCTGACACTTAAAATTAACCATCATAGCTAGGAATCAGTAAACGCACAAATAAATATATAATTGAATTGGATTATTGATTTTGGCTTTGAGGCTTGCCTCCTTCCTGGAGTGGGCGTGTTTGTCAATTAGGAAGGTATTTATCTGCAGGCAATAAAAAGTCTAATATCAATGGCTGGGGCAAATAGACGTTTGTCTGTGTTTTTTTTCTTACAAGGCTAGAAGTCTAGAGGTGGCTGGATGCTGGCCTTTGTTCTATTGTTCCATGGTGCTACCAGAGATGTGAGCTTTTCCTCTTTTGCATCTTCCATATCATCCTGGTGTTGTGGGCTCATGATTGCAGAATGCAAGGTCACCATCCCCAGGCCTTGGGTCACAAATGAATCCCTGAGTCTCAGGTTGCAAGGGAGGCGGGGAAAGAAGCATAGAGAAGCAGGACCGGGAGAGATAGCTGAGTCTGTCCCTTTTTATCAAGAAAGCAGAATCCTCCCAGAAACCCCACCTGGCAGATTTCTCCTTATAGCTCATCGGCCAGAATTGGGTCATGTTACAACCCCTAAGTTGCGAGGACACTGGGGAGCAGGATTGTCACGTCTGGTTTAGTCCAAAGGTACATTGCTCCCCCAAGTGAAATCGGAGTTCTGTAGCAATAAAAGAGCGTGGGGTGGGTGTTGGGCAAACAGCTAACACCTCTACCACTCACAAAATTCATCGTTCATGCCTTAGCATGGCGCCTAGGACACAAGGGTGCTTAAGAAATGTGTGTTTGCGGGGCGCCTGGGTGGCTCAGTCAGTTAAGCGACTGCCTTCGGCTCAGGTCATGATCCTGGAGTCCCTGGATCGAGTCCCGCATCGGGCTCCCTGCTCGGCAGGGAGTCTGCTTCTCCCTCTGACCCTCTCCCCTCTCATGTGCTCTCTCTCTCTCTCTCATTCTGTCTCAAATAAATAAATAAAATCTTTAAAAAAAAAAAAAAAAAAAAAAAAAGAAATGTGTGTTTGCTTGGGTTGATTTCAGAAGTTCCCTGGGTGGGGAGTCGGAGTTAGACCATGAATCCCAGAAATAGGGGGCTGGGTCCCAGCCCTGCCATCCCCAGCTGCATGACCTTGAACAAGCCACTGAACTTTTCGAAACTTGTTTCTCAATTCGGTAAAATGGGACTAATTCTTCCCCAAATTCAGATACACTCTGTGAAAGCACTTTGCAAAGGATAAGACAGATATTAGTCAAACCCACTATGGCTACGGAACCCCAGAGGGTTGAGCTTTTGCCTCCAGTCTCAGGTTCTCTGCTCCTCCTCCTAATACTTCTGTCCCTCATGGCCCCCGTGGTATTTCACAGATCCCAGGGGAGAATTGAGATAGTATCCACACTCCTGACTGGACTTCATCCTCACTGTCCTCTAAGGATCATGTGGCCAATGTAGTGATTCTCCAACTTGCCATTTCCCTGCTCTGGGCACACTGCTAGAGACTGGGACTCTGGGAGGAATCCATGCATTGCCTGATTGTCCTGGGGCCAGCACTGTGTCACAAGGTTACTAGAGCTGTTTACAGCCCTGACCTTGCTCTCAATCACTCATGAGTCAAAGTTGTGCAAGCTCATCCAACAGCCCCTGTGAAGGATTGCACCGAACATCACTGCGGCCTGGACATTGGCTTCCACATGTGGATCCAATGAAACTCCTGGTTCCTGATGGCTTTCTGTCACTGTCTGGTCTCCTTCTCTTCCTGCAACATTTTAATGTGCCAAGATCTTCCCCGTCTTGACATTATCGCTTGACCCCTTTGGTTTTGGCTTTTGAACTGTTGTCCTTTTTCTCTCCCCATGTTCTGAACTCATTCATCTGCCTACCTCAATGTTTCCACCACCTTCAACCCCCCATCACTAGCCCTGAAATACATGACCTCCCAAAAGCCAAGCCAAGCCCCCTGAGCATGTGCTAGATCTTCTCTTCCTGGTGCTCTTTGTGGTGGGGTGTCCACACTCTCCCTGTCGCTTTAGCCACTCTCACTGGTCTTCAACTGTTGTCTCCCATCCTTCAGCTGACCTTGAATGTTGGTGTGTCCACTGGGCCAACCATTTTTCTGACGCCACCTGAGCAGTTGCTTCTACTTCCACTTGGTGATGTTGCCCAGGTCGGTATTTCCAGCTCCAGGTCTCTTGCTTCAGAGCGTTCTTTACCAATATGGAAGCTGAGACGCACAGACATGGAGAAATAGGTCTGTGTCCACCTTAACCCCAGCGGTTGATTTCACGGACTTGTTGTCAGACCGTCTGTAGGGGAAAGAAGAGGAAAGGTGCTTGCTTGAGAGCTTACAACGTGCCAGGGACTACCTGTGCTGGGCACTTGTGTGCCATTCCATGTACCTCTTTGTTATTTTATGAATCCCTGCTTTATAGATGGGGAAACAGAGGACCCGAGAGGTGGAGTGAATTGCCCTCGGTCACACAGCTGGGATGTGGTGCTCCAGGGGCTTTAAGCTCAAGCTTTCTGACACCAAAGTGAAGGCACTCTTCTCATGATCCTGGGTATCTTTCTCTTGCAAAATCCAGATTTGGACAGATGGCCTTGGAAATCCAATTAGTCCAGACCGTGTGACATTTTATGCCATCTCGGAGCTGCGGAACGGGCCCATAAGCCAGCAGCAGGCACGGACGCGGACTCGAATTAACTGGGTCGGCCGTTGCAGGTTTGGGTGTTAGCAGCCATGTAATATCATGAACTGTCAGCCCTGAAATACCTCGGCTGGCACCAGTGAGCTCCAGGGCCAGTGGGACACGGAGAAAGCCATGGAAAATATGCTATCTGC